CTGGACAGAGCCTGAACCTGCACCACCGGTGAACTTGGAAAAGAGGCTCCTCAGCAGTAGTGAGCTCCCCTCTCTGTAAAATGAGGCTCCTATCATGTCTTTGGTTGGAGGAGCAAAGGTTGGCACACAGCAGGTACAACCGTAACATCCAAAGATGAAGCCTTCAGTTGTGACCAGCTTCTTTGCACACCCACCAGCCCCAGCACCCCCAACCCTGACCTTGACCTCTAGGTCTTTGCATCCAAAGTAGGGCAGAGCTGGACAGTCCAGCCAAGCCCAGAGACCTGGGGTAGTGGTCAGTGTCAGACACGGGAAGCCTTTCAGGAGAGGGCCCTGAGCCCACACCTGAAGGGTCAGCCTTGCCGCTTATCACAACCCCACTCCTCTCCAAAGCAACTCTTATGTCCCATCCAGAAAAGAGAGAGCTCTGGATGCCAGACATGCCACCGGGAGGCTGGGTGATGTTAGGCACAGACCTCAACCTCTGTAAGCTTCAGTATCTGCAGGTGTAGACAGGTCAGATACCCTCACAGGCTTGCCAGAACAGAAAAATTCCAGTGGGCAGCTGCAGGTCAGCGGATACTAAGCAGCCTACAGAAATCTCAGAGATGGAGTCCAGGCAATCAGGACGCTTTGCTTTTGGAATACTGCTAACATATGTTAGCTGCTCTGGCCATGCAAACAAACCATATAACAAAACAAAAACAAAAAAGGGTTGGGGCTGGCACTGTGGCATAGTAGTCTAAGCCTTCACTTGTGGTGTTAGCATTCCATACGGGTAGCGGTTCAAGTCTCGGCTGCTCCACTTCTGATCCAGCTTGCAGCTTATGGCCTGGGAAGGCAGCAGAAGATGGCCCGAGCGTTTGGGCCCCTGGAACTCATATGGGTGGTCAACTGGAAGCTCCTGGCTCCCAGCTTCGGGTCAACCCAGCTCTGGCCAACGTGGCCACTGTGCATGAACCAGCAGATGGAAAATCTGTCTCTCTCAACCTCTCTCTGTAACTCTGTCTTTCAAATAAAAAATAAATAACTCTTTTAAAGAGTGGGTAGCCAGGTGAGACGATGGATTATGTCAATTTGCTTCACTATAGTAACCAGTTTGTTATCTATGTGTATCTCACACCAGCATACTGTATTCCTTAAATATGAATAGTAAAATTTATTTTTTAAAAAGAAAAATTTCAAACACTACAGTATATTCAGAATATCTCTAATTTATGTTGAATTTTTAACTATAATAGAATTATCAGAGACTCAGATATTTTTACTGCTACTAGTCACTTTAATTCTGATAGGCTTTGCAAACTACTATTTGAAAGGAAGAGACATACACTCACAGAAAGAGGGAAAGAGAGAATTGATTTTCCATTTGCTAGTTCACTCCCCAAATCCCTACAACAACCAGGGCTGGAGTAAGGTCAACTCCAGGAGCTCAGAACTCCATGTGGATGTCAGGAACGTGACTACCTGAGCCATCTCCCACCTGCCTCCCAGGAAGCTGAGCTCAGTGGCAGAGCTGGCACAGCAGCCCCGGCACTCCAGTGTAGGGTGTGGGCATCCTCTGCGGGCCTTTACACACCGCGCCACCATGTACTCCTCAAACAGGTGTCCTCAGAGAGCGCTCTCAGCCCTTCAGCCTAAACAGAGGCACGGTGCTGGAATGCTCTTTCTTCCTCAGCATAATCCCAAACAATAGGGAACACACACAGTGTCCTGCCTTCCTTCCCACGCAGACGCCTGCCCAATCACTAGCACCTTCCTGCAGATGCCTGTCTCTCGGGGGCTTTTGAACCCCCCGAGAGACCCTTGGTGGCAGGACCCCACCAAGACTGCCCCATCATGACGGCTCAGAGGCTCAAGTCCACCCCATCCACACTTTATACCCACCTCCATGCCAGCCCACCAACCAGCCCCCATCTTTTCCTTGTAGTCCCTGCACCTGTTTCATCACTACCTTAAGTTCTCCCAGCCCCTTTTCCCTTATGGCTCCCAGTGCCAGGACTCCAGTGCTTGGTCCCCTCTCATCTGGTGCCCACACACCCTGGTACCCTGATGGCCCACAACTCCCACAACTTCTACACCATCCAACCTTGCTTCTACTGACAGCCTTCTGCCTCCGGAAGAGCTGACACCTGGTCCGCAGCCACCAGACCAGCCAGCCCTTTGCCTTTCCGAAACTCCATTTCTTCATCATCATCAGGCTCTCCGGGCTCTTGTGCAAATGGGTCCCAACAAGGGAGTGAGCTCCAGGTGCCCACAGGAATGTGTGCCAACAGCCCATGCCCGCCTTCCCCTGTACTAGTAACCAATACCCCTCACCCCCTCTGCTGCACCAGCCACTCCCGCTGGCCGGCAGCTGTCAGCTTTTGTGCCTCTGTAGCAGGTCAGGCTCTCACTGGTCCCGCTCCTAAGCACAGGCCGCTCCCCAGCACGTGAGGATGGCTTAGAGGAAAATTACCCAGCTTGGCCCCCACCGGCACTGGCTGCCTGCCTCTGAGAGGCCCCAGCCCTGGCTCACATCCTAATCCCTGTCCAACTTAACAGGAGGGGGCTGGGGAGTACTCCAGTTGGCGCCATCACTCCTCTGGGGACACTCCCATTCTTTGGCGTTCGGGAGAAACAGGGAAGAGGGGAAGAATCTGAGGGAACTGGCTGCACGGCAGTTGCTTGCTGGAGCCTCCGGCACTGCCCTGGGGAGAGTGGGGCCCAGCAGCCAAAACTTTGATCCCACACTGAGGCCCATGCTGGAGTCCTCTGGACCCCAGGTCTGCACCATACACTGAGCCCTCCGTGTCTCCATGAAGCTGCAGTCCATGTCACTACTACCCTGGATCATGCCTTGGTGATAGCCTCCAGACTGTGCGCCATCCTTCCAAGCCATGCCCATCAAAGCAGGCTCTAGCCCTGGAAAGTATGGGCCACGGGGCAGAAGACTAAATTAAAAGTGTGTTTGCCAAACAACTTGGAAATCCAAGTACATCTTTTCAGAATATGCATTTGGCATGACCTTCCTGAAGCTGTGCACAGAAGGGTGAGGAACTCAGGGCCTGGGGCCGGCTCCAAGGCCTCCAGGCTTTCACCCAAGTGACCATGACCTTGTTGCAACTCCTTTCCTTCTCCCTGCCTCAGCTTCTTCACCAATAAAATGGGAATGAGCTACAGGGGATGCTCAGTGTGGACAATGCCCGGTGCCTGGCACAGCTTTCAAACAACTGCTGGAACGACCCATAACTGTGGCCTGGGTGCCTGACTGCTATCACAGGCACTATGGGCGAGGGTCCTGGCTTTCTTGCTCCTGGGCTCCCTCAGGGACCCTCTGCACACTCGTGAAACTCAGCAGTCACCTGCAGGAAGGTCCAGGGAGCTCTCTGCACAGAGGGTGAAAGCCGCGATCTCGCATGCGGGCATGGGGCCAAGCTGGGTGGGGCTGAGGGATGAACCCAGGCCTGGGCATTCAAAGAAACAGAAAGCAACGGGGCTCAGCTGCAAGGCGGCATGGACAGTGACAGCAAGCAGGCACTAAGAAGGCTTTACATTCTCCACTGCGGCAGTGTTCACAGACGTCTGTGCATTTACCAAAGAGCACTGGATCCATTACAACGTGTGAACAGTGTAGGCAAATCATGTGCAAATTTGCCTACAGCTACAAGCTTCTCCTGTGCACAACCCTGGCAGGTGGCACCAGCTCTCCCTTGCTCAAGCAAGTGCTGCGACCTCCGACCTCCAGCTGGGAGCAGCCTTGGGCCAGAGAACACCAGAGGGTGGTTCCAGGGTGCCAGGTAGCCCAGGTGTGCAGCAGCCTGGCCCCAGGGGAGCACAGGTGAGCTGTAGATTCCCAGGCCCCACCCCAGGACCCGGAAGTCTGGGGTGGGGCCTGCTAAGCTGAGACTGCAGCTCAGCCACCCCTGGGAGTCACCGACCTCCTTTAAAATATCTGGAGGGTAGGACCCTTCGGTCGATGCTGAGCCAGCAGCGCAAGACTAGGGCCAAAGCAGGGGACCCCTTTCCCTTTTCTGCCTCCCCTCTTTCCCTCCTCCCTCCCATGCTCTCTGCCTCCCATGACTCAGGGCTATGAGTCATCCAGCAGCTCTGCACAGGAACCTTCTTAGGAAAAACAATCCCCAAACAAAGCTTCCCCGCACCAGACGAGGCCCTAGAGGCCCAGGGTGGGAGGGCCTGGGAACACGGGCTGGAGAGCCAGAGGCCTGTACTCTCCGCTTGGCCACTGCCTGCTGTGGGGCTCTGAGCATGAAGAACTTGCTTGTTCTGAGCTCAGTCATGTTCCTCTTGCTGTGCGCCAAAGCTCAGGATGACTCAGCAGGCAACAGACACAAGTAGCTGCCATCAAGCCCATCTTAAAGATGAGGAAACTGAGGCTTAGAAAGGCTCACCCTAGTAGGAAGTGCAGAGAAGGGGCTGCACCCAGCACTGCCTGCCCCTGGGAGTCTGGCTGTCACGTCCACATACCTGCTGCAGGTGGTGGTGTGGGTAGATCTCATTAGACCTGTGGGGTCAAGGGACCTTCCCTTGCAAGGCTCTTCTTCCTCTCAGCATGAGGCCTTCTGGGGGTGGGGAGGGGACTCCCTGGCCCCGGGAAGGGGGCAGCACACGGGGAATGGTTCAAATGTAAGGCAGACAAGGGGCACCATGGCCAAACGGGGAGCCAGAGTAGGGGTGACCGGGCAGAGCCTTGAGCAGTGAACAGAGATTTGTCTTTGGGAACAGCAAGCCAGGCCCAGGGAAGGCGGGGTGGGGGAGGGGGAGAAGGGGCAGGGAACAGGGGTAGAGGAAGAGGAGGGGGTGGTGCTGGAAACAGAAGCCAAAGTTCAGAGGAGAGACTCTCCGTCTCACAGGTGGGTGGTCCGGCATGGGTGGCCGGCACAGTGGCCCTGGTGGCAGGAGCAGAGCTGGCTTCCTCCCTGCAGGGGCCTGGCTGGTGGCTGCAATGGCAGCTGGCACAGCACTTCCCCTGGGGTCCATCCCGTTCCCTCACTACTCACCCAGTCGGAACTGCCCCAGGAGGCTTCATCCTCTGCCATCCTGTGGCCAGGCAGGGAAGGCAGGCCACAGGCCTCTTGCTAATCAGCCTATAAATAGGACCATAGGCCCCAGTCTGAAACAGCTGTGCTAGGCCCAACTCCACAAGCCTGGGGCTCCTCCCAACACAGCGACAAGGCAAAGGGCCCCCAGAAAGCCAGGATACCGGCATGAAAGCCAGGATACCGGCATCCCTCACTTCTCAGACAACGGCAGAGGATGTGGGGGGCAGGAGTCCTGCACATCCGTGGTCAGTTACTGGGGTTAGTTCCCCCAGATAAAAGCCAGGAAGGTTGGACGTAATACCCTCAAGGTTCTTCTAGCCAGTGCAACTCTGGGTTGCCCAGGCAAGCCCCTGTCCCCTGCAAATTCTCCCTCTTTACCCAGCTGATCAGGGACTTTTGTTTGATTATCTGCATCTTAGTATTTTTAAATTGCAACATGCACTTGAGCCAGGAGAAAATGAACAGGCCTGTCTCCCAGCCTGTCTTCAGCCTGGCCGCTCCCCAGCTGTTGTGGGTGTTTGGGGAGTAACCCAACAGATGGAAACTCCCTGTCTGGCCCTCTCTCTGTCTCTCTCCAAGTAAAATGAAGCATAAAGAAAAACTGCAAAACACAAAGCCGAGTACAAATCCAGGACAGGGAGTTAGGAAATCAACCAGACAGAGCAAAGAAGGGCGGGGGGATTCAGAGAGTGGATGTCCAGCGCACGAGGTACACAGAGGTATGTGACACGCCTGGATTTGATCACCAGCAGATCACCGGGGCCTCCGTGGTTCAACCCAAGTTCATGGCTACAAGAACAGGCTATGTGGTGGGTCAATGCGTGCTCAGCCAGGCCCCCTGGTGTGCAGAATTGGGCCAAGCAGATGCCCGTGCCTCTGGGTCAGTTAGGAGAAGCAGGGTTCACAGGGGCAATCACCTTGCCACGTGGTCAGGTGCAGGAGCATGGGCACCCAGGCTTGGCCGATGGGTCCTTCCACAAGGCCAGCTGAGCCCCCTGCAGCTGCTGATATGGAACAGCAAGTGCTCCTTCTCTAGGTCCAGCAAGCTCTCGAAGATTCTCCAGCTTGGGGAGGGGAGACCCCACCAAGGACCTTGGCACCCAAGCTTTGGGAAAGAACATCAGCTTTGAGCACGGTCAGCTTGACCAAGCCCCCCCCAAGGCAGCCAGGCCTCTGGGCGCGAGGCCACCTTGTGTGCCAGCCCCCTCTTCTGCCAATGCAAAGTGACGTCGCGGTCAGCCAGCCGAGGAGGTGTCTTGCAAGGTTTTGGGGCAGCTGCTCTTAGGAATGTGCTTCTGTTCCAGGGGTCTGGGGCTCCCCACCCTGGTCCCAGCAGCCTTGCTGTTTCTCAGCTCACTAAGCCCATCTACAACCACCGCATCTGCTGGCTCATTGGGTCCTCCTCCTCTGAGGAGAATGCACCCACCTTACAGGGGGAGAAACTGAGGCCTGAACTGGTGTGTGAACAGGATCTTCTGGCCCAACACTGCACTCCACCTCACTACCCCTAGCCTCCCAAAGCGGGTCACCTCACCTGCGAATGTGACAGTCAGGGGAGGGGCCCCACCCTGCCAGCTGTCCCCAGCGGCTGTATGACTCATCTCCTTCCCCGTGACTCACACTTCTCAGGTGCTCCTCCTACAGTCAACAAGAAGGCAGGGGACTTGGTGGCGGCCACACCTCAGCTCTTCTCACCTCCCTGCAGTCTCCAGGGAGAAATCCTGCACCTGTTTCTCATGGGCGTAGGAGGGCCAGCAATTTCCCCAGAGTCACGCGGTGGCAAGCTGCATGGCCAAAGCGAGAGACAGGTGCCCAGGTGCCTTGCCTGTTCCCTACTGGCTTGCCTGTGCCGGGGGCCCCTCTCTCAAGAGTGAAAAGCCATAGGGCTGATAGAAACACATCCTGAGCCTGACTCCCCTCGAATCCACTGTGGCTCCCGGGAGGGGGCTGCCCCCAGACTCTCCAGGGCAACCAAGGCTGGGCTGGGGCAGGCAGCGTGCACCTGCCTTGCCTCGATCTACCTGGCTCTCAGGGAGCTGTACTGCCAGGACAGCTGCTCCCTAGGGAGGCAATGTGCCCAAGGCACGGGACAAAGGGAATGAGCAACACTGCCTGTAAACGGGCCTAGATCACAGCACTAAGTGAGGTGGGGAGTTCAAGGTTATCTGGCTAAATTCCCAGGGCCATGGTGCATGGTGCAATTCTCTTCCCTACCACCAGGGGTCACACAACCCCCACTTGCATACTCTCTCGCCTCCTACCAGGGCTGGGTAACAGTAGACACGCCCTTGGGACAGGTTCCCCACGGCCTCAGGGTCTGGTACCTGCCCGCAGGGGGGGCACTCAAAACAGGTCTGTTCATGTTTCCAGTGGGTTCTTTGAGACTGAAGACAGTGATCCATCACCTCTTCCGCCAGCTGTGAACTTCAGCTCTCCCCGACACCGAGGCGTAGGCTTCTCATAAGCCTTTCCCTGGTGTGCTCCAGGTAAACTCTGACCCTACTAACAGCCCAAGACCCAGAATTAGACCTTTAGACAAGCTCTACCCAGGGCAAAGCAATCACTTCCACCATTCTAGACACCAGGCCTCTATTCACCCCAGTGGCATCCAAGGCAGCCCCACTGCCCGGCTGTATTCTGCTCACAGGAGCAGCTCAGGAGTCTGGAGTGATACAAACCAGCCCCTCACTTCACTGTGTCACTGAGCAAATCAAGCCACCTCCCCCAGTCTCTGCTTCCTACTCAGTTCCAGGGGATAATATTAGAACACCCTCATGCAGACATTGTAAGGATTAAATGAAGGGGGCTGGCACGGTGGCACAGGGGCTTTGGCCATCATCAGCAACACAGGCATCCCATATGAGTGGCACTTCAAGTCCCATTTCTGATCCTGTTCCCTAGGAAAGTAGCAAAAGATGGCCCAAGTGCCAAGTGGATGTCCCTGCCATCCACGTGGAAGACACAGCCTGGCCCAGCTCTGGTCATTGCAGCCATTTGGAGAATGAAACAACAAATGGAAAATGGCTCTTTCTGTGTCATTCTGCCTTTCAAGTAAATAAAAACATCTTTTTTTTTTTTGAAAAAAGTATTTATTTATTTGAAAGCCAGAGTTAGAGAGAGACAGAGCTTCCATTTGCTAGTTCATTTTCCAGATGGCTACAACAGCCAGAGTTGGGCGAGGCCAAAGTCAGAAGCCAGGAGTGTCTTCTGGATTTCCCATGTGGACAGCAGGGCTCAGATACTCGGACCTCTTCCACTGCCTTGCCAGGCCATTAGCAGGGAGTTGGATCGGAAGCAGGACAGACAGGACATGAACGAGGATACAGCCTTACAGGTGGTAGTTTTATGCACTTACATCACTATGGCCTCCAAGAAATAAATCTTTAAAAAAAAATAGCAAGAGTTTCACGCATGTTTACTCTACTTTTTAATCATTAAAGGCATGAGACTTTTTCCTGTAAGTTGTTTCCTTCTAATCCTGGACCCATGCCATTTCATTTGGGGGCCCCAGACGGCGACAGGCCACCTTTCCAGTTTTGTGCCCCAGCACATCTCTGCCCACACCAGCTCCTCCTAGCCCTGAGGGAGAATCGAGGATTCCCCCAACAGAAGGGGGCACAGAAAGCTCTGGGCACACAGGCACAAAGGAGACCCATTCCCGAGGCAAAGGCAAATGGCCCAGAGGTTCCTGAGTGACCCGAACTATGACGGGGGCAGATCCGTAGTCATAGCACCCGAAAATGGAGAGGTGAGAGAGTGAGCGTCCCTCTGGGGGCCCGGAGCCAGAAAGATCTCTGTGCAACTTTCTGAGTGCTTCGGAAGTGTCCAGGTTCCCCTGGACCTGGCATAGCAGAGCAGGGTCTGCAATGCTTATAAGTGGTCCCTTGCCCTCCACACAGCCCAGGCCGCCTCAGGCTCACCCGAGCGAGGGGCAGTCTTTGAATATAGGTGCACCGGCTCTCCCCCTTTGCAACCATCAGCAACAGTATCCATCCATCCACACAGTGGTCCAGGGCATCGCTCTCCTCACCACCTGCCATTCTACCCTTAGCCACTGTCACTCCCACATCTCACGGATCACCAGGTCCTGCCACGTCAGCTCCTGACCACTCCCAAAGGCATCTGTCCCTTACCTTGACTACATTAACCACCACCTGTCACCAGGGTCTTTGCAGTGGCTTCCTCTTGCTCCCCTCTGGGAGGCAGGTTCTATAGAGCCACAGAGTCCGGACCACATCACTTCCCTCCCAGACTCCGCCATGGCTCCCGAGCGGGGCCCCCCAGATGAAGCTCAAGATCTTAGCAAGCCATCCACATTCATGCTTCATGATCTGTCCCAAGAGACAATGAAGAGCCGCTCTTCCTGTCCCCCCAACACACAACTCCAGGCGCCAGCCAGTTACACCTGCACACTGACCCATAGCCCTCTGCATAAATTCCACGCAGGGTCTCTCCTATGCGTCCCCAGGCCCCTGCCCTTCCCTGTGACACAGTACTACAATGGTCTACATCCAGCTTTCCAGCAGACTAAGTGCCCAAGAGCCTGCGCTGAGGCTGTTGCCACTCAAGATTCAGCCAAGGGGTGGACAGTGTGGTGGAGTGCCTTGAGATGCTGTGTAGGATGGCTTCCCTTCAACTCCTTGCTAATGCAGCAGAGAAAGCCACAGGATAAGGTCTCAAGTACCTGAATTCCTGCATGCATGAGGGAGACTCAGACGGAGTCCCTAACTATTGCCTTTGGCCTGGCCCAGCCCTGAATGCTGTGGCCAAGTCAGGGAGTGAATCAATGGAATGGAAGTTCTCTCTTGTGTCTCTCCTTCCCTTTCTATCTCCGCCTTCCAAATAAATCTTAAAAAACAGAGTCATCAAAAAAAAAGTATGAAGTAGTGAATCACATGCAGGCACACGTGTGTAATGTGCGCATACACACACACACACACACACACACACACACACACACACCCCCCGCACGTGCACAGAGCCCGCTAGCAAAACAGATGCTGCCATCTATGGGCAAGACAAGTGTTACACTGTTTCCAAGACAAGGACTCAGCAGGCTCCAAGTTTCTAAACTGGGCTGGGTTCAGTCAGCCCCAGCTAGCTTCAAGTGTCTGCCTGCCATATCTTGAAGCTACAGCAGGCTCAAAAGGAAACCTGCAAACCGCTGCCTTCGGTCCCCTGCCCATGCACCCCAGATGCAGCTGGAGTCGGCTTTCCTCAGGCACCCTGGGTCCCAGCCCGGCTGTTCTTGCCCCGTGCTGAACTGCATCCTACGAGACAGGCTGGAGAAACGGTGCCTTCTAACAGGGTGGTGCACCTGCAGAAAGACCAGCCCTTGGGGAGAGAGAG